ACTTCAGCCGTATAATAACTATCAAAACAAAGGTGCAGCATCTACTATAGATCTACTGTAGATACAGTAATCTCACACACTCTTATCTGACATCACAACACAAACACTGGAACTTCTGCTCACAGAAACTGCTGACCTCATGCTTACTCCGCCAGAACCATAAAGACGTTTATCAAAGATGATATTACAAATCAGGAGTGATATAGATGCTATATTTCACAACAGAGTGATAATGAAAACTGTATGTTGTTCTCTCATAATCTCATCTTGAAATGGGTGTGTGTGTGTAATATTCTCTAATATTATTAGTTTATTTATTAGTTTATTAGTGACTTGTTAACAGACACTAATAAAAGCGTTAGTAAAAGCTGCACTAAATGCTTGATTACAAAATGTTTACTCAAAAAACAAGATATACAGTTGTTTAAATTAGTGTTACTAGCCTTTTATTTTTAATTACTTGTAAAATTAAGTTTATAAAGGAAAATTCGACACTTTTTTTGCGTTTGTTTTGTCACTGCTTGTGATTGAACCTGGAATTTGTGAAATCTCAATTCCATTCATTCATTCGTTTTCTTTTCAGCTTAGTCCCTCTATTAATCAGGGGTCACCACAGCGGAATGAACCGCCCACTTATCCAGCACATGTTTTACACAGTGGATGCCCTTCCAGCTGCAACCCATCTTTGGGAAAACAAACTTCATAAACAAGTAATATTAAAAAGATTGAGGATTAAGCACAATGTGGTACTATTGTACTGTATAAATGTATGCAAAATATTTTGATGAACATTAAACCTTTTCTCTACTTTGCCTATATACTTACAACCAGGGCTGTTTATATCAAAGCTGATATTTATTTATTTATTTTTTGATTTTCTCCTTAACCTCTTACTGTTCCTATTGCCTATAGAATAAAAAAAAAAAAAAAACATGTGTCAAGCCATGAGAACCGAACCGAAAACCATGTTAAAAAAACCAAGGTATGTATCAAACCATGGGCTAACTGTATTGTTGCATCCCTAATATATATATATATATATATATATATATATATATATATATATATATATATATATTTAAAAATATTTACTATTTTCCCAAGTGTATATAACTACAGTAAAAAATTATCAGCATTCGGCACATACTTTTAGTATTATCTTTGCTTGAACTGACCCAATCTAATCCTGTTTATATGAAATGAGCTGCACCCTAGCAGGTTTGAGCTACCAGAACTGTTGCTATAACAACAAGTCTCGGATCAGTTTTGAAGAACGAAACGATCGTGGATCATGTCAAATCATCAATATTCAAATCCAGCTAATTAAGTAATCCATGTACGAAGAACAGACCCATGGGCTGTTTATATTGAAGTTGATATTTAGCCGCACCATGATGGTGTTTTGTAACATTAAATTATTTATGAGGCGAGTTGTTAGCCCGATGTTTAACCCCCATTCTGGAGAACCAAGACATACAAACATACACTACAGACAATTTAGCTTAACCAATTGCCCTATAGTGCATGTGTTTTGGACTTGTGGGGGAAATCGGAGCACCCGGAGGAAACCCACGCCAACACAGGGAGAACCTGCAAACTCCACACAGAATACCTGAGTGACCCGGCTGGGGCTCAATCCAGCGACTTTCTTGCTGTGTGGCCACAGCGCTACTCACTACACCACCGTGCCTCTCCTACTTTGTATATGAGCAATTCCAGCATTATGGATGTGACGTTTGCAGTAAAAACACAAAACATAAATTCGCATAGAAAGCATATGTTAACAATATATTAAAACTATTTTCCAGAACAAACAACCACAGAGTTAAGAGACCAGAAACATATCAATCAATGTTTTGTACTGTAAATGTGGAAAATAAACATGCGTTATGGATGTGACGTAAAAAAAAATTAAAATCTGCGGGTTCACAGAATGCATACTTTGTAGAAATCCTGTGAACTAAACTGCACAACCCAAAAGAAACAATGATAATCAAAAGGATAAGAGTCGGCTCTCTATAAAACACAAATCATTGATTTTATTTAATTTAATATTTTCACATTTATGAGGAAAAAGTGTTGTTACAGATGTGACATCTCTCTGTTATGGATGTGGCAGATGTGAAATTGCCACTTGTGTGACTTTGGGAAATCACATTGAATAATTTAAAAACATTGACAGAGACATTTTTAAGTATTTTAAAGTACTGTAAAATACTTGCTCATCCCAAAAAAAAAAAAAAAAAAACCCAGAAACTGTTTCCATATATTGTTGAAAACTTAATTGCTCCTATATAGATTTATAAAATAAGCATATAATTGGTATCATGAAAACTTTGTTAGTAAATGCAGTGCACATCAGAAATATCTACAGACTGACCACTGAAACTAATGGTTGTGAATCACTTTTTCAGGGCAGTTTTGCATATTAAAAGGCTTTAACTGCAGTTTCACTTATTCATGAAACTAAAAGACTTCATTTTCATCATAGTAGCTTTTACAAGCACAAGTTCTTTTGTGAAACAATTATAATGAATGTAATGACCTCCCTAAAAAAACAGTGTGAACTAAATTGAGTGTATGTGTGTGAATGCTAGAGTGTATTGATGTTTCCCAGTGTTGGGTTGCAGCTGGAAAGGCATTCACTGTGTAAAACATATGCTGGATAAGTTGGCAGTTCATTCCGCTGTGGCGACCCTAGATTGATAAAAGGACTAAATATATATTTATATATATATATATATATATATATATATATATATATATATATATATATATAGCTTAAGGGGGCTAATAATTTTGACCTTAAAATGGTGTTTAAAAAATTTAAAACTGCTTTTCTGTATTTAGCCGATATAAAACAAATAAGACTTTCTCCAGAATAAAAAATATTATAAGACATACTGTAAAAATTTCCTTGCTCTGGTAAACATCATTTGGAAAATGTAAAAAAAAAAAATGTCAAAGAGAAGCTAATAATTCTGACTTCAGCTGTACATATATACAAGGCTTGACATTAACTTTTTTGATCACCAGCCACTGTGGCTAGTAAATTTCCAACATTACTAGCCACTCGCCATTTTCACTAGCCACACTTTTCTTGTTGGGAAAACATATTCATAAATTTGATTTTGACATGCTAAAATGACTTGATTTAGATGTTGTGTTATGTCCACATGCCTTCTCATTAATGTAATTTCTTGTGTGTTGTGTATTAGCTTGCTCAGTGTGCATAAGGAAATGGGTTGTGTTGCAATGCAATTAGTTTATATTTCACACGACTTTTCAGGGCTCAAAATGAAGGATTTACCAAATTTATCTCTGACCAAACCAAATAAGTATTTCTTAGCCACAATTTTTATGCATCAAAAACAAGGAAAATATAGCTTTATAGAAGCACTTTTACATTCAACAAAACTTTTCTTAAAAAAAACAACAACAAAAAAACATTTGCACGCATCACATCACATGTGCGCGCGAGTGATCATCCTCTCATTCGGTATTTACCTTCTTTTTTGCTGTTTTGCTCGCGGGAACACAGTTATTTTTGCCAGTCGTGTTGCTTCTCGATTCTAAGATCACATTTGCACGCATATTGGACCATGCTTATTGTCGAACCCTGAAAAAAATGATTTACAACCAGCCAAAGTGGCTAGTGGAGGCGTCTGTCTAACCCGCCAGAGCTGAAATATACTCGTATTTGGCGGATGTTAATGTCAAGCCCTTCATATATATATATATATATATATATATATATATATATATATATATATATATATATATAGTAAGTAAATTTGCTCCAACAATTGTAGTTTTATTTACAAGTATAACAAATTTACTACAGCAAATTAAAAAAAATATATATTATGCATTCTATTAAATGTAAAATATTAAACAGGACCATTTACAACTTTCATGCAACTTAAACTATTATGGCTAAAAGGCACAAATCAAGAAGCTGCAACCGGCTGTAAAAGTCTGAATAAAAATAATGCATAATCATAATTAGTACCACTCCGGGTGCTTTGGTTTCCGCTACAAGTCCAAAGACTGTGGTATGGTAGAAATAGGTAGGCTAAATTGACCTTAGTGTATGTGTGTGTGAATAAGTGTGTGTGGATGTTTCCCAGTGATGGGTTGCAGCTGGAAGGGCAACCACTCCATAAAACAAATACTGGATAGGTTGGCGGTTCATTCCACTGTGGCGACCCCGGATTAATAAAGGGACTAAGCTGACAAGAAAATTAATGAGTGAATAATTCATTGCTTCCAATAAATAATAAAAAAAGGTAGTTTAAAAACTAGACTAGGCGGTGCGATCACTCAGTGGTTAGCACCTCACAGCAAGAAGGTCTCTGGTTCGAGCCTCGGCTGGGTCAGTTAGCATTTCTGTGTGTGGAGTTTACATGTTCTCCCCGTGTTGGTGTGGGTTCCCTCCGGGTTCTCCGGTTTCCCCCACAGTCCAAACACATGTGCTATAGGGGAATTGATGAACTAAATTGGCCATAATGTATGAGTGTATGTGTGAATGAGTGTGTGTTTCCCAGTTCTGGGTTGCAGCTGCATAAAACATATGCTGGAATAGTTGGCGGTTCATTCCACTGTGGTGAACCATGATAAATAAAGGGACTAAGCTGAAGGAAAATGAATGAATGAAACTAGACTGAGATCTTATAATGTAAAGAGGATATTGAGTTCAGCAGAGCAGAAGCTGAGCGCCATGAACTGACTACAGATGAACTCTACCCTGCACCTCTGCCAAAACCAGCTTTTCAGGAAAACTAGCTGCGTGTGTGTGTGTGTGAGAGAGAGAGAGAGAGAGAGAAAGAATGTGTGTGTTTGTGTGTGTGTGTGTGTGTGTGTGTGTGTGTGTGTGTGGGGCCCTCAGGAAATGGATAATTCTCACGCGAGCCTGTGAAAGAGGGCGGATCTACAACACACTCCTTCCTCAACTACAGCATAAATACTCAGTGTGTGTGTTTGTTCTTGCGAGTGTTCTTCTGCAAATCTGAACACACAGAACTACAATCAACCAGCCAGCATGAGCCAAATGAAGTCCAGAATGGAGACAGCGGCGAAGATGAAGGATGAAGACAAGCTCTACAGGCGGGACGGGATCCTGTACTCGACTGTTCTCAGTCCACCAGAGACCCTGGACAAGTTAAAAGACCTGCAGGCCAGAGAGGATGATCTCATTCTGGTTGCGTATCCTAAATGTGGTGAGTAAAGCAGTGTGTGAGACGTGGCTGTGTGTAACTGCTGACAGTGCACTCAGGTTATGTTAGTTAGTTGCGTAACGTTCTTGTGTCAGAGCATGTCTCTTGTAAACGTTCCTGCATGGCAACTGAAAGTCACACATTCTGCCTTTAATGCAAATCTCAATCTAATGTTTTCCATGAATGAGCTGACTCTTGAAATCTGATGCTTTGTAATGCATGACATTAATGCTATTCTTACACAGTATTTGTCAAGTCATGCTCAGTCAACACACACTGCAATACTAGACACAAAAGAGTGACGCAATTCTGTGCATTCACAGTCAAACACTTGTGTAAATTGCTGAACTGGACTGAATATATGCAAGAATGTGTTTTTAACAGAGTAAATACATGAATCACAGAGTGCAATTCAACCTTTTAAGACCTTTTTAAAGATTCTTTCCATACATTTTAAGACCTTATAACCACTCAGGGGCGGACTGGGACTAAAAATTAGCCCTGGCACTGTAGCCACACTAGCCCACATTACCACACCCACACAGCCCCATCCACAGACACGCACATTCACTACTTATATTAGTGTACAGATGGTGAAATAATATAAGCAGTACCATATGTAATAGATATTTAAACATTTAATGTATGTGAGTGGAAGAAAAACAACCCATTTATAACAAATTTATACATGCAATAATTGCATTCATTTATTATCTTTTCGGCTTAGTCCTTTTATTAATCTGGAATCGCCACAGCGGAATGAACCGCCAACTATTCCAGCATATGTTTTACACAGCGGATACCCAATTCACCTATAGCACGTGTTTGGACTTGTGAGGGAAACTGAGAGGAAGCCCGAACATGCGAACTCCACACAGAAACTCCAACTGACCCAGCCAAGACTCAAACCATCGACCTTCTTGCTGTGAGGCGACAGTGCTACCCACTGCGCTGCCCCCTTTCGAGACTATTTCAGTTAATTTCATGCATTTGGCAGCATATGATTTTGGAGCAATTTTCTTTTTCAATTTTTCGACAGTTAGCTTGTGTTGCTCTTACTGTTTGTTTGACATTCTTGCCAGATTTTGATTACGTCTACGTAACCTCTGATTGGGTCGGTCCCTTTTGAAACCAGCCGGCCATTGCCGATTGGGCCAATGCTTAACATTTATTATTATTATTACTATCATCATCATCGTCATCATACATCTTGCAAGAGATAAAAGCTGCCTGCGTGTAAAAACAATACATATAACAAAAATAAAAAAAAATAAAAAATAGCACACCGGCCCACATTTAAAAAATGGTCTGGCCCTTCTGGCATTTGCCAGAATTGCCAGATGGCCAGTCCGCCCCACTTTTTAACCAGAAACACCGGTGAGATTTTAACTTGCAGTATATTTACTAAATATTAATATGAGAAATTAATACAAAACTAAAACATTATTCATATGCTGAATAAAAATCTATTAAATCGAGTTAATTCAGCAGGTTGGGCCGATAGAACTGCAGAAGTAATGGTGTTGCATTGGTTACTGCAGTAGCAGGATTTTATTAATTTCGTAAACTACACGGCATTTTAAACTAAACTGATTTGTTTTATCTTTGTCATGATGACAGTAAATAATATTTGACTAGATATTCTTCAAGACACTTCTATACAGCTTAAAGTGACATTTAAAGGCTTCACTAGGGTAATTAGGTTAACTAGGCAGGTTAGGGGAATTAGGCAGGTTATTGTATAACAGTGGTTTGTTCTGTAGACTATCAAAAAAAAAAAATTTGCCTAAAGGGGCTAATAATTTTGTCCCCAAAATGGTTTTTAAAAAATTAAAAATTGCTTTTATTCTAGCCAAAATCAAATAAATAAGACTTTCTCCAAAAGAAAAAAATATTATCAGACATACTGTGAAAATTTCCTCGCTCTGTTAAACATAATTTTGGAAATATTTAAAAAAAAAAAAGAAAAAAAATAATTCATAGGGGGGCAAATAATTCGAACTTCAACTGAATATCTCTGGCTCTGTATAGCCAGTCTTCCACTGCACCTTGAACGCACATTCATTTAGAAGGAGAGCTACCCTGTACTGAAATGGTGGCTCTATTGACGCATTCCTTCCAGTAGACAACATCTAGTTTTAATATCTATGGTTAGGAAGTTGAACTTGTAATGAAAACGTTGTCGGAAAGATAGTCGAAATTAGGGAAGGAGGGAGCAAACTGCACTCTTTCCAGCTTCGATGCCTAGCTGAGGTGCCCCTGAGCAAGGCATATAACTCCTAATTGCTCCCTGGGTGCTGGAAGCAATAGCTGCTTACTGTGTATGCTCTGTGTGTGTTTGTGTGTGTATGCTCTTACTTTTTAGAACAATTTTGAGTATGGGTAAAACCATACTTGACAAGGCTCACTTCCCTCATTTTGCTGCTCTTACTTTATTAACCTAAATGTCTCTGTGATTGATTTCCAACAGGGTTTAACTGGATGGTGGCGGTCCTGCGTAAAATCATTAACGCTTCCACTGGTAAAGATGAGAAGCCTCCTGAAAGGCCTCCTCTGGTCGAGTTTCTACCTCCAACTGTTCAAGAGGTCAGAAACAGCACAAACAACCCAGCAATCTGGGAATATTTACCCTGAACACACACAAAAACATCCCTGCACGTGTATTATTACAGTTCCACACTGTTTGTTTTACAGGAAATGGCACAAATGCCTCCACCGAGGCTTCTGGGAACTCATCTACACCCTGACAACATGCCTGCTACTTTCTTTACTAAGAAACCAAAGGTCAGTAGCAACGAGATTAAACTTTGAGTCACATCCATGAGATCAAATCATGTGACACTACATTAAAAGCAAGCAAGATCTGCAAGTACTAAACACATACATACAGTTGAAGTCTGTATTTTTTTCCCCAATTTCTGTTTAACGGAGAGCAGATTTCTTCAACACATTTATTATCATAATAGTTTTAATAACTCATCTCTAATGACTGATTTATTTTATCTTTGCCATGATGACAGTAAATAATATTTGACTAGATATTGTTCAAGACACTTAGGGCAGGCTAGGGTAATTAGGCAAGTTATTGTATAACGATGGTTTGTTTTGTAGACTATTGAACATGAATCTAGCTTAAAGGGGCTAATAATATTGACCATAAAATGGTGTTTAAAAAATTAAAAACTGCTTTTATTCTAGCCGAAATAAAACACATAAGACTTTCTCCAGAAGAAAAAATATTATCAGACATACTGTGAACATACAGACATTTCCTTGCTCTGTTAAACATCATTTGGGAAATATTTAAAAAAGGAAAAAAATCCAAAGGGGGCTAATAATTCTGACTTCAACTGTATATATTCATTACACATTTGTTATATAATTTTGAAAAAATACATAGTGTCGCCTTAGAATTATACGGTTCTATCTGACATTATTGTCAAAATTGAGTTATTGACATATTCTTATTAAATGACAACTTATTTACATTATGTGATGTGTTTTTATAAATTTTTTACATTTTAAGACTTTTATTTAAAAAACAAAAACCGTTTACCTACAAAGTTGAACTCTAGCTTGACTCTATAAGGTTCTTTCTGTGAGCCAATCAGCATTTTTAATGCACACACGAGGACCAATCAGGATCAGCTTTCTTTGTCATTTTGCCGGACTGCTCCATTGCAGCGGGAAAGACCAGAAAGAAATCCAAAAGTCATACAAAATCAGAGTCGGCTAAATAACGCTACAGCACACAAATTGAGATGAGATGATTTAGAAGCATTTATTGAGATTAAATGTTAAATTTTACACTGTTGAAATAGAAACAAAATATTTTTTCCAAAAATGATATATTAAAATGTAAAATATTTTTATTTGTGTATATAGAGACAGTGAAACACTTTTCAGTGTTTATAAAACTCATTGGCTCATTGTTGGCTCATTAAAGTCTTTAAATTTAATATTAAGCCTTGAAGGCCAAATACTTAATTTAATTCATGGAGCATGTAATACAACAAATATAGCATGAAATTCAGTAAATATAATTTAATAATTCATATAAAGCATAAAGTTTAATAATTATGACCATATTCATTACATAAAGTTAATATCTGCACTGCATAAAATATTTAACACAGCTTTGTATGTTAAGTTTGAACAAGTAAACAAATTCATCCTACAACATGAAATAAATGTTATAGAAAGCACAAATGTAATTTTCTCAAGTATCAACATATTGTTACAGCACAACTATATATTTTTTGGATTGTATTTTCTGAAAAGTAAAGCTTCAACGAATGATCTACCACAGTGGTTCTCAAACTGTGGTACGTGTACCACTAGTGGTACACAGGCTTCCTTCTAGTGGTACACGGAGAAATGAAATATGTCATGTACATGCTACATATATTTCAAAATTAATCAAAAATAATGGATATAATATATCATGTATGGCATATAGCCTATATTTCTGATGTAATCTGCCACGTTTTTTAACTGTGCAGAGTTGTAGCTGCTTTACTCGGCCTACTGCGCTACTGTATTGTAATACTGCTCATTTTGGTGGTACTGGGAGAGACAATTTTTTTCTGAGGTGGTACTTGATGAAAAATGTTTGAGAACCACTGATCTACCAGATAGAACCTTATTATTCCAAGTGGAAAATGACTTTTCAGAATAAGAAGGTTCTATCTGCATTTACCGTGGTTTATTTACTCCAATTTGGAAATGTAAGAGAATCATTTGCATTTAGAGAACCCTTAGGGCCTCTATCATCCCCCATAGCCAAATTTCTCAGGCCCAGATTTTGCCCACACCATCAGCATTTGCTTGGCCCACATGCCGCAGTGAATTACGGTACATGACTGGACCAAGTCCGGCTTCCATTCAAGAGGCAAACATAGACCATATCTGGGCCAAGTCTCAGCCAAGTTGATAACCCATAACTGGGCCAGATATGTTGGTGTGCCACGACTGCAATGTTTTTATAAACCCTTAAAGCATTTCGCTTTATGGCTGTGCTTTTTCTTGAAGCGACCTGATTACTAGAATTTTTTCTGTACTCAAAAATAATTTCAATGTATTTTAGAAGTGGGTCAAGATAGGCCAATCTCACGTGGCCCACATATACATTTAAACATCTGGGCCAAATTCTACATTTGATATCTGGCCCAAGTCTTGAGTGCCGCCTGTAAGATGGTGCCACCTCAGCCAAACCTGGGCCAAGTTAGGTTCACATGCTGCATGCCAGTGCCGGACGAATGCCTGCTGTGCCAGCTTTATGCCAAATCTGGGCCAGAATTATTTGCTACCTGGGATGTTAATGTATGAAAGAGAACTGTTACACACATATTGTTTGCTATATGGATTGCAGAAACTTTAAAGCTCAATATCTCAAAATCATTCAGAACTTAGATAGAACCTTATAATTCCAAGGTGACGATATAATACAACTCTAGTTCTCTAATTTCCTCCATCTCCTCAGATTCTTGTGGTGTTCAGAAACCCGAAAGACACAGTGGTCTCATATTACCATTTCATGAACAAAAACCCAGTTCTGCCCAACGCTGAGTCCTGGGACAAGTTCTTCTCTGACTTCATGACTGGTGATGGTGAGGAAAACATGACTATGAGCCGTGGCAGATAAATATTATTTTGATGAATATATTAAAATAATGGTTATGCATGTCTGTTTCTCAGTTAGTTGGGGCTCTTACTTTGATCACGCTCTCGCCTGGGAGAAACGGATAGACGACCCGAACGTGATGATCGTGATGTATGAGGATCTCAAACAGGTAAATGCTTGTAAAGTCATTAGTCTTACAAGTCATCAATAAGTATTTGTGCAAGCAGATATTTCTGAAAGATTATTAGGACTTTTTCACAATAAGTGTATTAAACTAATCAACAAATGCTTCATGCGGATCATAAAAATGTCTGATTTTAACTGTAAACAAATGTTTAAATGCATTAATAAAAATCTGTAGCCTAGGTAAAAGTAAGTTTTAATAATATACACGCTGAATAAGCACACCATGGTTTCTGCTACATTCCTTCTTCTGTGGCGGGGCGCCACACCAAAATTCATCCCGCCACGGCTACATCACAGCTTTTTATTCAAAATATTTGGTCGTTTTTTAAGTAGCGGGTTAAAAATAGCACCGAAAAAGTATTTAAAGGTAAGTGAATAATAACAGCGCAAACTTTTCTGTGACTGTAGTAGTGCTGTGCGTTCCGTTTAACCCTTTAAGATAACATCCTGGCTGATTGACTGACAGGTGCGTGATGCGTGAGACCAGCAAACGGCGTAGCTTTCAGTTACGATGAACACAGTTTTTATAATTATACTTTTATTTATAGATTAAGGTCTGTGGCTCTGCATATAAAGATTTTATCTTGCTGGAGTTTACAGCCGTTTCACTTTACTTCAGGACGCATTGATGCCGCGGTCCGCTCCGCAAGTCTATCGGAGACATTCATAAATATTCCTAGCAAATCTAATAAATGTTGGAGACATACTCGGTACATAAATGCACTAAATCACACTTCAACAGCGTTTATTTGAGGGCGCGCAAGTAAATCTGCATTTGAGCAGCGTATATTTGAGGGTGCGCAAGAAAAATTTGCACTTGAGCAGCATATATTTGAGGGCGCCCAAGCACGAACAGCATACATTTGAGGGCACCTGTGCACGAACAGAGGAAAGCGGTGCTCAAGCAGAGATTGACATGCTTGTAGGCTATTACATGAATGCGATCTCTACTTAAAACCAATAATAATAATAATTCCTTACATTTATATAGCGCTTTTCTGGGCACTCAAAGCGCTTTACACAATTGGGGGGGGATCTCCTCATCCACCACCAGTGTGCAGCATCCACCTGGATGACGCGACGGCAGCCATTTTGCGGCAGACCGCACACCACACACCAGCTGATTGGTGGAGAGGAGACAGAGATGAAGCCAATTGGAATAAGGGGATGGTTAAAGGGCCATGATGGACAGAAGCCAGTGGGCAGATTTGGCCAGGATGCCGGGGTTAAACCCCTACTCTTTTCGAAGGACATCCTGGGATTTTTAACGACCACAGAGAGTCGGGACCTCGGTTTAACGTCTCATCCGAAAGACGCTGCTCACTGAGCAGTAGCGTTCCTGTCACTATACTGGGGCATTAGGACCCACACAGACCGCAGGTTGGGCACCCCCTGCTGGCCTCACTAACACTACTTCCGGAAGCAAACTAGCTTTCCTATTTAGTTTCCCATCCAGGTACTGACCGGGTGCAGCTCTGCTTAGCTTCAGTGGGCGACCATGTGAGAGTTGCAGAGAGCTAGCTGCCGGCCAATACTGCGCCCATGACATGTCAATGAAATAAAACCACATGTAGATGTGTGTAAAAATGAGTCTGCCACCATAGCTGAAAAAAATCCTATAGGAAACACTGCATGCAGTACATTGGCCTTCCCAAAATTCCCTGCATGACAATTCATTTTCGATGTTTTTTTTTTGTTGATATTTTTAAAGTCTCCCTTTTTTCCTCATCAGTACCACATAAAGAACCATTGTATAGTGCAAAGAACCATTTGGGGCTGCAAAAAAACATTTAGGGCCTTTTATGAGTTGAAAAGATTCCATGGCTGTTAAAGGTTCTTCAAAGAACCATCTACATCAACAAAGAACCCTTTAAGCAGTTCACATTTAGCTGATGATTGATTATAAAGTGTGTTTAGCATGTTGTGCTGGAAGACAGCCTCATAAGATCCTCGAGCCCGGGGCTCCCTCCCGTTTGCAGGTCGAGAGAGGAGTTTAAGCTCAGGTAGTTCTCATGAACTCCCCTGCTGTTTTGAGATAATGAACAATTAGGTATTGTTATGAAGAGATATCTACATACTAGAAGCACATCTATGGTGCCGATTTGGATTAGTCAATTAACTTAAGTTGCAAGTTTTTGGATGGTGGGAGGAGACCCAGGGAAAACTCACGTGAGCACGAGGAGAACATGTAAACTCCGCACAGAAATGATGACTGGCCTGGTAAGGGTAGAACCAGTGATCCTCTTGCTGTGAGGCAACAGTGCTAACCACTGGGCCGCCCGCCATGCTGCCCATCTAGGAAAGAAGGAGGAGTATAGGGTGGAAGGGGGGATTCTTCAAGACAAAGATGGCTGTTTTATGGAACTAAGGGGATTTATGGTGACTTAAGGATAGTCTGATTGGTCAATAATGAATTGGCCAGGACCAGCTATGATCAATCATAAGCATGTGATCCTCTCGAAATTAGTTTATAAATAAACTTCACTTAGACAAATAATGTTTACTGCATTACTTTATTGGCATGTGTGTTGGAAATATGAGAACCCAGTCCAGGAGACCCGCTTCAAGCAGAATTCTTTGAGATGTGTTGGTTGTTCTGCAGTCAAACAGCATCTTTAAGAAATCTACACGACTAACAGAAGTCTAAAACAAGTCTAATTTGGGACAGAGTTGTCCTGTCTATTATAATGTTTTTAGGAGAGGCTGTGACTAAAGGTGGAGATGGCTAACAATGCATGCAAACGAAGTAGATAGGTGAGCCACTGACCACACAAGTTGATCAACAAACAAGTTTCTTTGGTCTGAATGGATCCACAAAGACTAAGACACAGTCGTTGGGACCCTGCCCATAACATGTGGACCCTGCCCATCACATCTGCACCACTTTGGCAAAGCCAGTGCTGAAACAAGAGGTTTTAGTGTCTCTCATACCCTAGTTATATATAGATTAGGGCGACGTGGTGGCGCAGTAGGTAGTGCTATCGCCTCACAGCAAGAAGGTCGCTGGTTTGAGCCTCGGCTGGGTCAGTTGGCATTTCTGTGAGGAGTTTTTGCATGTTCTCCCCATGTCGGCCAGGGTTTCCTCCGGGTGCTCTGGTTTCCCCCACAAGTTCAAAGACATGTGGTACAGGTGGATTGGGTAAGCTAAAAATGTCTAGTGTATGAGTGTGAATGAGAGTGTATGGGTGTTTCCCAGTGATGGGTTGCAGCTGGACGGCCATCCACGGCGTAAAACATATGCTGGATGAGTTGGCGGTTCATTCTGCTGTGGCGACCCCAGATTAATAAAGTGACTAAGCCAAAAAGAAAATGAATGAATGAATATATATAGATTATTGTTCTAGATCACAGGTGTCAAACTCAGTTCCAAAAGGGCCGCAGCTCTGCACAGTTTAGTTCCAACCCTAATTAAACAAACCTGATCAAACTAGTTGAGTCCTTCAGGCTTGTTTGAAACCTACAGGTAAGTGTGTTGGAGCAAGGTTGGAACTAAACTGAGCAGGGTTTCGGCCCTCCAGGAATTGAGTTTGACACCCCTGTTCTAGATTATATAAATGTATATTTCCATATTTGACCATGATGTTTTTGTGTTGTGTGAATGACACAGAGCCTCTTCTGTATAATCGGTGTGTCTTTCTACTTGTTTGATATGAGCTTTATTTTATTACATGGCTCATGTCATCACCACATGCATATAATTCAGGTTTTGTCAAAAGTGCAATGTGTAGATGTTAATACTTCAAAACACGGTAACACTTTATTTTGATGGTCAACCTGAGTATTAGCACACTGTCTGCTTAATATCCACTGATACTGCTCCTTGAACAGACATTTAACTCAGGTGTTCTCAACTGTTGATGGGACCCACATTTTTACATGGTCATCAAGCCGTGACCCAAATTTTTAGGAACTATAATACAATTTTAGGAATTATAATTAGTTGTTATTTATTTGTTAACATACACAAGTAGTGACAGATAAATCATAAGACATTCACAGAGACTTACAAATAAACAATATTTTATTGCTGTCATTTAAAAAAAAAGATCAAATTATAGAAATATTACAAAGTAAAAACGACAAATACTGTAAACAGTGGCTAGGGTAAGGAAATGTTCAGTTACCTTGAACTAAACTGAACTGCTAATAAAACATGTCTGGTTTCTAAATGCCGTTTTAATTTAGGTTTCATGCTCTCTTATGAGAGCACCTCACTACATATGACACTGAGGCTTTAAGTCTTTTTTGTCATCAATATATGTAAATCCATACTTTACATATTCGGGATCGTACTTGCGCTTCGACAGATTTATTGCTATAATTAAATTAAATTTCACAAGTCAAACGGTAGGGTTGTCGCGCACATTTTGCTTATACCGGACTTTTATTTTGAAATAAGTAAAAAAAATTAAACTTTTGTTGTTGTTTTTTTTTGACTACACACTCCGCGACCCACTGAAAATGTTCCTGTGACCCACTTTTGGGTCGCGACCCACCAGTTGAGAAACACTGATTTAACTGACTATAAAAAACTTTGCAGGTACATGTCAACTTACACTAACACTAACCCCAACCTAACAGTCTACTTATAATCTAACGAGAATTAGTTGGCATGTAGATGCAATGTTACTTAAATTCAACAAACAGAACATTATAATAAAGTGTGACCAAAACACTGATGTACAACACTATAAATTAATGTAATGTGGTATATTAGCATAAAACACTTACATTACTTTTAAGTCTTCAACACTATTATTCATGGTATTTTTTTTTTTTTACCATAGCTTTTACAGATTTTCTTTACAGCGTGTCTTTTAAAACTGCAGTGCTGCATGTGCTTATCTGAGTCTTAATGTTCTTTCTGCTGCTCCTCCAGAATCTTCCAGAAGGAGTGAAGAAGATCTCGGAGTTCTTCAGTCTTCCTCTGACAGATGAGCAGGTCAGCAGCATTGCTGGACAGAGCACCTTCAGCGCTATGGTGGAGAACTCGCAGAAATCCCACGGCAACTTTGGCAGCATTTTTTTCAGAAAAGGTAAAAGATCCCTTCATGATGTAAACGTTACGCACAAAAGTCAACCACACAAGCTGTCAATCACTCCAGCTTTCAATCACTGCGTCTGTCAATCACTGCAGCTGTCAATCACTCCAGCTGTCAATCACTCCAGCTGTCAATCACTGCGTCTGTCAATCACTGCAGCTGTCAATCACTCCAGCTGTCAATCACTGCAGCTGTCAATCACTCCAGCTGTCAATCACTCCAGCTGTCAATCACTCCAGCTGTCAATCACTGCGTCTGTCAATCACTGCAGCTGTCAATCACTCAAGCTGTCAATCACTCCAGCTGTCAATCACTGCAGCTGTCAACCACACAAGCTGTCAATCGCTCGAGCTGTCAATAACTCCAGATGTCAGTCACTGCGACTGTCAATCACTTAAGCTGTCAATCACTACAGCTGTCAATCACTGCAGCTGTCAATCACTGACACTGTCAATCACTCAAGCTGTCAGTCACTGCAACTGTCAATCACTCCAGCTGTCAATCACTGACACTGTTAATCACTCCAGCTGTTAATCACTGCAGCTGTCAATCACTGACACTGTTAATCACTCCAGCTCTCAATCACTGCAGCTGTCAATCACTGACACTGTCAATCACTCCAGCTGTTAATCACTGCAGCTGTCAATCACTGACACTGTCAATCACTCCCGCTGTCGATCACTGAAGCTGTCAATTACTCCAGCTGTCAATCACTGCAACTGTCAATTACTCCAGCTGTCAATCACTGCAACTGTCAATCACTCCAGCTGTCAATCACTGACACTGTTAATCACTCAAGCTGTCAATCCCTCCAGCTGTCAATCAATCAAACAAACAACCAATCACTTATTTTCATCTTGTTTGCATGGCGTCACTTAAGATAAAAGGATTTCTTTTGTGATTTAGTCATATATGTTTTGTGTTTTGTCTTGAACAGGCGAGGTGGGCGACTGGAAGAATCATTTCTCTGAGGCTCAGAGTAAACAGATGGATGAGCTCTACCACAGCAAACTAGCTGGAACTAAACTGGCTGCCCGAATGAATTATGACCTTTACTGCCAATAAACCTGAAGACACGACATGAGCTGACAGACGAAGACAATGTTTTACAGGAATTCACCAGGGCAGCTGTTCATGAACGTCTTTGATACTCTTCATGTACATTCCATTGCTTACAATAAGCACAGACTCACTGTCATTAAACCTCATGGTGTGTGTTTGCTAACATTTATTAAAATGAAATGTCAACACTATTTAGGTCTCTGTTATCAATTGCAAATATTCACCACTAGTCTGCGCACTAGTCACTACCAAAATCCACAGGAAGTGAGCCGAATGATGGAATTGGATCTAATGGCTTATGGACAGCTGGGGAAATGATGCTAAATGTCCATAATGAATTGCAATTGCATATAATGATGTAGAGTTAAGACAGCTAAATAAACATCATCAGCATTTTTACAAGAGAGTAAAACAAAGTCCAGTCAACCTTATTCATCTGGCACCCAGTAGAAACTCATCAAAACAGATGAATGTACACGTGTGAATAAAAAATTAGCACAAGTACACAAGATTAAGAGTTGGTTTGCTTATTTATTTCCATTTTAAGGTTTTTTTTTAAAAAGGTAAAGCGGAAAAAAAATAACATTTAAAAAAATTTACAAAAATAATCCAGTTAGATATTAAATTTAGAAATATCATTAGACATTCCCTATAGGATTTTGTAAGTCCAGTAGATTTTGATTAAAAACAGACAAGATTTGTGTGTATTTTCACAGCCAAACAGCAAAAAAAAGTCATGTTTCGCCACAAATCTATTATCATTTATTTTTTCATATTTTATTAATAATTATAATTGGCTCAATTTAATTAAATTCATATTTATTTGTCTGTTTTTGTGCTTTATCATATTTTAACCTAATTTTTATTGTATTGTATCATTTTTGTTGTTTCTATTTACTTTGTCAAATAAGTTTTATTAAAGACACAAATTCAGAAAGACAATGATTCAGTTTTACATACTTTGTCCACATATGAAAAAGAAAAGAAATAATTAACAGTATTAGAAGTGCTAAAATGATTTGCCATCCCACAATCAAGAAGCATATTTATTCTTATTGCAAACTATTTAATAAAGTGTATATTATATTATATTATATTATATTATATTATATTATATTTTAATATTTATTTATTATTTTTTATTTTTTATTAATGATCATAAATAAATTTCATCCATTTAACAAAATAGATGAAAACTTTAACAATTTAACTTTATTACATTTTTAACCTAGTTGTTTTAATTGTATTAGTTAATTAATTAATTTATTTAGTTTTTCCCTATTTTTAATTTACTTCGCTTTTTTATTCCCTTTCATTTTTTTTCCAAAAAAGCACCACAAGATAAAGGAAAACATCTCTATATTATATTGAATAGTTTAATATAATATAATATAATATAATATAATATAATATAATATAATATAATATAATATAATATAATATTTTTGCATCATTAATAATTATATTGGATCAATTATGTTTATTCATTTGTTTGTTTTAATGTCTCTATCATATTTACGTAATTTTTAATGTATTAATTTAAATTAATTATTTATAATTTGTTAAATTTATTTGTATCTATATTATATTAAATAATACAATAAAAATAATAAAATAAAATATAATATAATATAATATAATATAATATAAGATAAGATAATAATAAAATATAATATTTTTGCATCATAATAATTATTAACAAAAAATAAAATAAAATATTTTTGCATCATTAATAATTATATTGGATCAATTACATTTATTAATTTATATTTATTTGTTTGTTTTATTATCTTTATCATATTTTACCTCATTTTTAAAGTATTAATTTAAATTAATTATTTATAATTTGTATACATTTATTTATCTATACTATATTGAATACAATACAATAAAATATAATATAACACAATATAATATAAAATAATTCAATATAATAAATAAATATAATATAATATAATACAATACAATTAATACAATATAATATAAATAAATATAATATAATTAAAAATCTAATAAAATGAAATATAATATAAATATAATATAATACAATATAATAATTAAATATAATATAATATAATATAATATAATATAATATAATTAAATATAATGAAAAATATAATAAAATACAATACAATACCATATAATACAATAAAATGAAATATAATATAATATACAATAAAATAATATAATATAATAATATAATAATAATATTATATAATAATAATATAATATGATATAATATAATATAATATACAATATAATATAATACAAAATACAATATAATATATTACAATATAATATAATATACAGTAATATAACATAATATAATATAATATAATATAATACAATATTATATAATATACAGTAATATAATATAATATAATATAATATAATATAATATAATATAATATAATATAATATAATATAATATAATATAATATGCAACAAAAATAAATATGCATCTACACTGTGTGACAGCAAATCATTTCAGCACTTCTACTACACTTGTAACACATATGTAGACCAATTTGTCTGTTAGAACAGTATAAATAGCATACTATCCAGAACATACAGCAGTGCCAGGAGTATCCCATCATTCCTAATGAAGTCTAATTACAGTCATGTAGATATGAACAGCAGATGACCTCTATGAACAGCAGATCCTGGAAACACTACAGAGTTTTTCTTGTCAAAACAAGACGATCAGTGAGGAAATGCAGAAAAGTAGATTGACATCCGAGAGACATCGTTCAAACTAATGCAATCTCATTTCAGACTAATGCGCCAAAAACAGGACACATTATAATATAAATATACGATAAATAAACAGCACTGTGGTCCATTTAAGAGCCATATTAAAGCTGGAGGCTACAAAGTCTACAATCTATGACTGACCTCAGTGCTTTTATAACGGCAGTAAAGTTTGACTGTGAAATAGTTGCTGACAGATATGAAGCAGATGTGTTTTACAGCTATTGGGGCAAACTGGGATTGATAAACACCGATATGTGAACGAGACACCACCAGTCATTATTGTAACTGGACTTTCTTGCATCATATCCTGATAGAAAAGCCATTACACATTAACAAGCACAGACTTTATAACCACTTTTTAACCGGAAACACTGGCAAGATTTAAACTTACAGTATATTTACCAAATGTTAAAGTAAGAAATGAATCCAAAACTAAAACATTATACTGAATACAAATCTATTAAAACTAGCTAATTCAGCAGGTTGGTGCCTATAACTGCAGAAATAATGGTGTTGCAGTGCTTACTGCAGTAAACAAAGCAGCGTGATGTAAAGCGCGACAAAGTATTGATAGCGCTTCACTTTTTCCACATTTGTTTATGTTACAGCCTTATTCCAAATTGGATTCAATTCATTTATTTCCTCAATTTTCCACACAATCCCCCATAATGACAATGTGGAAAAAGAATTTTTGAAATTGTTGCATATTTATAACAAATTAAATTAGAAAAATCACATGTAAATTTGGGTAAACTTCCTCCAACCTTTAAGCAATGGCTTATGGAACTCCTACACCACCTGACCTTAGAAAAAATACGATATACTGTAGGAGGCCGTACTGATATGTTTTTTTTTCATCTGGCAACCTGTTCTAGATCACATAAAAATGATGGACCCCTCAGTCATGTTAGAGAAGTAGAACCTTTACTTGTTTTCTTTTTTTATTATTATTTATTTAATTTTTTCCAATTTAATATTTTTTTTCTTTTCTTGAGTTATGAGAGTAAACTATGTTAAACTTAGCATTATTTTTTTTTTGTATTTTATCTTATTATTTATACATTTTTATAGAACCTAAATGTATATGTGTGAAACAGGTTTTGTTTGTTGTGTAAAAAAAAATAAGAAAAAAGAAATTGTACTGTATGTTTCATATCTAATATGTTCAATAAAAATACTTTAAATTTTTTTTAAAAAAGATTATTTTTCAGAATTGTTTTTTATTATCTATTATTTTTATATTATCATTATTAATAATATTATTATTTTATTTTGCTTTATTTTTACTTTACTTTTATTAACTTCCATGAATAAAATCAGGGTGAGTTTCTTTTTCAGTGTTTGTGAAAAAGTATGTGAATTAATTCATAATTCAACAACATTATTTTAATATGATTAATCAATGATTAGGAAACATTTCTGATTATCATCAATGTTGAAAGCGTCTTTCTATATTTTTGTGGAAACTGTGACATGATTGTTTGAGCAGTAAAAAAAAGAAAAAAAAAAAATATATATATATATATGTATATATATATATATATATATATATATATATATATATATATATATATATATATATATATATATATATATATATATATATATTTATTTATTTATTTTGTACCACTCTAAAAAATGCTGGGTTGTTTTAACGCAATATTAGGTAAAAAACTGACAAACTAAACGTTGAGTTGTGACATTTAATTTTAAATTACACTTTGTTTAATGCAACGGTTGGATTTGTCCATATTTGACCCAATGTTAAAGGTTTAAAACCTCCAGCATATTTTAGAGTGCAAATCTGGTTAATTAAATGAAAATTGAATAAGTTAAATGCTGAATCATGAAAGCATTTAACTATTAAAACATCTTTTTAGGGCGGCACAGTGGCCTCACAGCAAGAAGGTTGCAGGTTTGAGTCCCGGCTGGGTGAGTTGCCGTTTGTGTGTGGAGTTTGCATGTTCCCCCCTGTGTTGGCGTGGATGCTTCCCAATACAGGTTTGAAGCTGAAAGAGCATCCACTGTGTAAAACTTTTCCTGGTATAGTTGGCGGTTCATTCCGCTGTGGCGACCCCTGATGACTAAAGAGACTAAGCTGAAGGAAAACGAATGCGTGAACATCTTTTTAATGATATAGACAATAAAAGGATGACGAGAAACCTGCTTCACTGATTATATCCTGATTCATCAGTGATTGAAAACATTCACCACGTCATGCTGAACACTTTTAATCCAGCTGCTCACACACAAACAACAATGGCTGCATTACGGGAAAACCAATCCAGACCAAAGCCTCATCCAGATGTCATTTGTCAAACTGCTGCCATTTATTCTACTATAAGACAAAGCATGAGTTTAAATGTCACAAGCTGCCCTTTTCGCAGAATCTGAATCGAATCGCTCGCTGTCTATGTGAAGATCTGTAGCCTATACA